AAAAAAAATCATACAGCTAAATACTCAAATGTCGATGGTGGGAAAATAAATGATACAGACAATGCCCTTTGTGTCGAAATTGAGAAAACAATTCATGAAGTCATTTTTATGTCGAAGTTAAAGAAATAATTAATGTATAGTCAATTCCCGTTATATCGAAGTTGAAAAAAACTTTATTATAATACGCACTGATTTCGACATACATGGACTAAAATTTGAAATACAAATATGGCTTTACTTTATCATCCTGAATAATGTCCAAAAATAAAAAATAGACACAATGTACCAAAGTAAACGTCCATAAGACGATCATGACTTTGAGCTAAAACTTCGTTATATCATATACGAAATAAGAATGTTTTGCGAAAAGGGAGGATTGACATAGTATAAAGACACTTATGGGAGAGTTGTTCCCTGAATGTTCTTTTGGTACAAGTGCTGTTACAAACATATACGCATAAAGTAAAAAAGACATTAAATCATTCAAATTAGAGAGAAAAAAACATAAATTGAACATTATACATCTTGCAGTCATTTACCAAATGCTTGTACTTTGCATGATTTACATTTCATTTCGGGAATAAGATGACTTAAATTGTTATAATCGTCCAAATGGTCTAGTTTGCACATTAATTCTCCCGTGCTTTCTTCCGTTGCCCATTTCACTGATTTATCGTCCATGTCTTCGATATATCTGTGTGTATGAATCGACATTTACTTTGCGAGAAGAATTGCTGAGAAGTCATTAGCTATATACCTTAAGTTTATCTGCTGTGCTTGTTAATGAATATGTGAACATCATGTGTTATTTGATTGAATCTTATAGGTTACGGAATGAAATTTTCCCCCATAAATAAGTTAAAATTAGTCTGACAAGCTGTCCTAGATTAAAATAAAAGATATTATCATACAAAATGTATATCGCAAATTTATGTTGGGCTATAAATTCAAACTTATTTATTTGATATTGACATAAGTTTTAAGTAATTATGTGCATTTGATTTTTTTTTTATATTATTATTGATATTTCTTTAAAAGTTTAAGCATACTTTTAAACATATCTTTATACAATTCGTGCTACATGATTTAAATTTCGGTTTTGTTCGGTTAATATTTTTTTGTTATTTTTGGATAATTTGATATTTGATTTATAGATCAACATATGAGTTTTGTTGATCTACAAAGTGTATCATCTGAGCTGACCATGTATCATAGTTTCTCTTTCTTGTGTGTGTGTTTTTTTTTTTTTTAAAGTAATTTGAAAGTGTTTGAATATAATACATGGTCTATCTATAGCTCTGAAGTTGATGTGTAGAACTTCACACAGGTAGAAAGATCGGTTAGTTTAACATAATACTTATACACAAAAACGTGTGTATCTTAATGGCTTTTTGTTGGTTTTTTCGCTGAGTTTTCTTTAAAAATATATATAAATCTTAAATATCTATGGTGTGTGTACATATATATAACTGATATATACATATATCAATAATATTTATATTGTTGAAATTGTAAACGTTTTAAATGTGCACACAAGACTTCCGTGATAGATATAAGTACACTCGGAAGGGGGCGTGGCTGTTGATATCGATCTACGATAGATGAAACCTGTTCAGAACAGAAAAGGTGTTCTTTAATCGTCTCAGCAAAATTGATAAGAAAAAGTGTCGATTTTTATGACAGTAACTTCCTTGTCTTTTTTGTTAAGATATCTTATGGTTTTTAAAGTAGGATATTGTCACTTTCAAAATATCACTTTTAACCGCCCTCTAATTAGCGTCGACTGGAATGTTGGAAATAACAGCCCAAAAATCATTTTCAAAACTGTCTATCAGAAATGTTGTCAATTTATTTGACTCCCGTTGTGTGAAACTGTATACAAGTTTTTTATATTCGTTTTATATCACACTCCTAAACTTTAACTAGGCGTTAGCTACACTACAGAATCTCAAATGTGCAGCAGGACGTCCTCTGTACGGATCTCGAATATCCGTAAATTTCAAATCTCACTCTCAAAATATTTACCAGAAAAAATAAATGTTAAAATAATCTTTGTGAATTGCCATTCCGTACTCCAACACGGATTATAAAATATTCGGATTAATGATTTTTCTTTGCCGGACTAAAGAAATTAGTATGAAGTTGATTCACTATCATTATTCCTCATTCTACCTATTTCCCTACATTCAAACATAATAAGATATTTTTTTAATATTGATTTTAAGATTTTAACTATTTTTCAGTTTTTACTTTTTTACATAGATACATACATATATATAATGATCAATGATGTTGAAGATCATTTTAGAAGTTCTGTTTTATTTGACTCGTCCTGACGCCAAAGTAGCATACAATGCAGTAAAGAATACTTTTTAGAAGAAATATTGATTATCGTTATGAGATTAGATTAATTACACCTATATTTCAATTGAAGAACTTCTGTATGGTAATCTATGCTTTGAAAATATTCGAAATTTCTTTTGTGATATTTTACAATAAAAAAACAATGTATAAAACTGAAATTTCGACTCAAACTATTCCTACCTCATGCATACTTTAGAATATAAAAATGAAACTTATTCCTGGAAAAAGGATTGTAATTTGAGAGGAAAAAAATACATAAATTAAGCTATTCGTCAGTATCTCAGTTCATTTCATCTCTTGAATTGTTCATATACCAAATCAAAGGTATGGACTATGTTAATGAGTAATTAATCAATCTAATGAAGATTAATTCAATGATTAATTTGAAATTTATAGATTTTTTTCTGTGTACTTTAAATGAAAAGAAAGGGAAAAATTTCACAGAATAAGTTACATCTACTTATCTCAATTCCTAATATAGTTAAGCTAAAATTGACGCCCATACACAAAAAATATTATTTGAATTTTACTAAGATTTTATCACTTTCCTAAGATATAAAATATATTTTTGGGTGTATACAGTCTGCGGTTTGTGGTTGCTGTAAAAGTGAGCCGGATGTGAAATGCATTTTTAAAATAAAGTTGGTAAGATATATATCCAAGACACAACTTTAGAATTATGTTGTCGAATTGGAAAACTTATCTGATGCCATAAGGTTAATAAGGAGGCAGTGTAAACTTGATGTATCCTAATAAAACAGCCTCGACAGATTATGAAATTACATGTAAATAGAATAATGAGCACACTTTGTGATTTTTTTTAATTGTTTTTTTTTATTATTTAAATAATATGCCTTTCAGAATGAAGATGTTGATATACATTTTGTAATCAAGTTAAAATACACCCCTCGCAAAAGATATCGTTATTTATATATATATATATATAAAACATAAATGATTATTGTACTCGATGTAGTTTCCAAAATAAATAAACAACATTTATACAGCAAACCCATACATAGTTGATACAAATATTAAGATTCGTAAATCAAAAGTAAACAAAAAAACAGTAAATAACACAAACTGGGTGAAAAGCCGGTTTTTCTGTTCTGATGTCTGCCATCCATTGATGATACCTTACACCACTTGTATTATTAAAATGTATTAACCTGTTCGGTTTACACTGTTACCGCGCTCGGAAACAGAAGTTGGCCAGCACAATAAAAACATCGTTTACCAGACGAGGCCTGGGTTTGTTAACAGCGTCAAGAAAAGAGCCTCCGTTTGCTTCTTGAAAGACTGGTGCTAATTCTTTTTCAGTGCGATCATGAAAGCCCGGTTATCTTTTATTTTGTAAGAACATAAAAAAGTATCAGAATACATTTTCACCCTGTAAAATATGATCATTTTGAGATTCTGAAAAGTAATCGGCTACAATAAGGTTTCAGGTTATTTTGATAAGAAATTTGCCATTAGCATTTTTGCTTTTTTGTTGTTGTTTTTTATTTTTATTTTAATTTGTAAGAGTTTGTTCTGCAAGCTAACAAATCTTTGTCTCAGAGATGCATTTCGGTCGCTTAGGATGGGTTTAACATGAAGAACTGTCTGTGTATCACCAAATATCTTTGTATCGAAGCATAATTAATTTCATCGTTTAAAGTGATACCCGCGATTGGTTTAGATGTCCAGAACATTTTGCTAATTCAATTGCCTCTCATCTGGAGAGTCAGCGTATAGTAATTAGTGAACTGTGGCTGATGCATGACGGGACAGTTTGTTGATGGAAAAAGTCTGGTCGAGATTGGTTGATCAACGAATTACATTCCCCTCCCACTGTTGTAAATGGCTAACACCTCACGCAGACCATGGTCATGTGTTAAAACATTGTTATCCCGATTCTTACAAGTCTCGTGTCCTCGACAACACATTGATAACGAGAGGTACATATCTTGAAAGGATTCTACTTCTTTTTTGTCCGTTTTATTTTCCCAAGTTTTTTTATATTCAAGCCAAGAAGATGGAGACATATATTATTTTTCGGTACTAAAATTCGCAACGTTTCAAGGAAATTTGAAGGACTTTTATTCAAACATATCATACATCGAGAATCATTCATTCAATACTTTTATATATACATTCTCGTAACATTGTTTAAAAGCTACTCATTGTTTTTGCCTCAGGTCATTCGCTGTACGCTCGGCAGACGACAGTTTGTAATCAGACGAAATATTCGCGCCTCACGCCGCTTGTGTACCTTAGGGGTGTTTTCAGTAGCGCGCAGACGACATATCCTTACAGTTATTTAACTGTCAGTCAATCAAGTGGCCCGGCCTCGTTTTGGTGTTTTGTTTTTGTTGTGGTGTGCTGGAAAGACTCTTGTGGAGTTTGACTCCTGGGTACTTAGATACATTGACAGACCACGGATACTATACAACTCGTACTTTCTACCCAGAGGAAAGTCGGACAGAAAAAAAGTATCTGTTTTCTGGAAGACGTAATATCTGTGGACGAATGCACCAGTGGACCTACGGGAATGTTTGTTTACTCGTCCTAAATGTATAGTTTTCCAAGAAAGAAAATTTGATCTATATTTTTTTCACTTTGATTTCACTTGTGGAAAAGTTTCATCAAAATCAGACCCAATGAAAATCATGTCAACATCCAGCGGGGTCAGTGATTCTGAGGACAGTTGTAAGGACCAATATGAACCGATACGAAAACTCGCAATGGTACAACTTCAACCTCCTAGAAATCCAAACAAACCTTTCACGTCTTTTGCAATCAAAGATATTCTAGGGTCTAGTAACAATAATAATAATAATACTAATAGTAATGTGCAGCATAGAAATTTACATTTTAACAATGCAATAAATTCGAGGATTGTGAGACCTTGGGATAATAGATCTAGTCCGGGGAGAGATTCCGAACTGTCGTCAGATGCTGAAGAAGAGGAAATCAACGTTGATGACGATGATCATATCCCAAGTTTGAAAACTGTTTCTCCTCTTGACGCTCTGATGGAGATGGCAAATAAGACATTTGAAGGATTAGAAACAGCAGATGCTGCAGGTATGTATTTTTGATATTTTTTAATTTTCTGTATTAAAGTATACATGAAATTTATTAAAAAATGATAGCTGATTGTTGCTTTTACAACTTTTCTCGTTTTAAATCAAGTTATAAACTAAAATTAACATTAATTGGTTATTTATACTCTATTTATAATATCAATTCATAACAATTGTTAATATTATTCAAAAAGTATAATTATATTCACAGAAATCATCAAATTTTTACATTAACATTTACATGAATGAGGGTTACGACTAAAATGGGAATGCATGTATGTATTTCTAAACTAAATGCAAAATGTAGAGCAAACCCATTCATAATAGTTGTTATATGACTTAAATGTTTGCAATTTATTGCAATAAATCAAATAAGATATTCGTATACTTAGACAAAGTATCCAAGAAGAGAAGTAAAAATAATGAATGTAAATATACATAAATATTAATATTTATTTATTAACATGTACCTCTTCAGTTACATTTTTTTCTTTAGAAACTGAAAATCAATATCATAAATCTAAATTTCCAAAGTAATTATTTATTATCAAATGCTTTAAACACATAATAAATTATTTCATTTTTGCATCAATTGGATCGAATTGTCTAAGAACGTTTGAAGAAAGAGCCAATTCTAAGGAATCGCGTTTTATTCAGTTAATAGAATGTTAATTGATTAATTATGTAATCAATTTCACGAGATTGCTGACTATACAAAACTTAGAGTTGATCACATCGTGCTGAGACGACGCAAGGCCATAGCAACAATACATGGTAGAAATAACTGCGAAATTCGTTTTAGAAGTAGCATTTAAATATGATGTATGAAATAATTTCCAGAAATAAATATAAATCATTTTGAATCATTTTCAGTAGCTCGCCATCGTAAACAAGCCTCTATTTAAACTAATTTGATCGCTCTGTATGAATCATCGTGTGGTAATATATTAAATATGACACATTCTTTAATTACGTTAAAGTTATTTGGTCATATTCATTCAATTAGGTACCATTAATTAACAGCAGAACAATTATTGAGAAATGTTGCGATTTATTGATACATCCATATTCAAAAGCAATGATTTAATTATTTTTGTTAAATTTAGTTATAAATTGAAATGTATTACATAAAAAATGTTCTTAAACCTATTTTACAAATTTTATTAGATATAAATTAATCACATATGAAAATATTAAAATATTATTACAAAACAAAAATACAAAATTTAATATTATGATTGTAGTGTCGTCTATTTATTAACATTTAAATAAATTATATATGTACAATATATATTTACATATTTACAACATATCTAGGTTACAATTTCCTTCGGCAACAGACGATATATGTACAAACTTTAGATGTGGTTAAATCTTTTGTTTTTGAACATAATTTATAGACCAGATTTCAAATAATGTTTTCAGGCTTTCATCTTTGACCATGGTAATCTACCAATTAATAAGATCATAAAACTTCTGAAGTTCATCCCAAAATAAAGACCTGTAATAAATTTTCAGTAAACCATTAATTACGTCATATTTTTGTACATAAAACACCTTTGCCGACAAAAGGGTATTAAAGATTTGTAGAAACTCTTGAAATGAAAGAGTTTTACAACAGAACTGCACATTAAAGGTAGCACGTTACGGAGTTCTGTCGCCACGGGCAGTCTATTTATTAGCTGACCACTTGACCATAATAAAGACACTTTCACTAACAAATATATCTCGGTCCTAATCGACTGGTTGATTTACGACCTGGCTTTAGAGAACTGACCACAAAATATCCATAGAGTTGAAAGACTTTCCGACAGCTACTGGCGATTTTGATTTCTAGTGTACTTGTGCTGTAGAAGTGATCAAGATGTGTTAAATCTATCAGGACAGCGGTCAGTTTACACCTATCGGATGGTCAATTTGGCCTTGTTACATCTTTACCCCTTGGCAGTAAATCTGACAAATTATCTGCAATATGTTCGCGGTCAAAACCTCGTTAGTATATGCATACAACATGCCACTTACCATACGGAATGGCTTCTTATCTGAAACACTCGATTTCCATATTAGAAAATAATTTAAAATGCTTTGATGCATAACTAAGAACGTTTCAAACAATAATGTTTTTGAAACTACGAAAACACTTTAAATTTATGTATATTTCTTAAAAAGACCTTAACATGACATCATTTATTGTCTTTGTTTTAGATAAGTATTTAGTTCATTTTGATTACATGACTGAAAGATTTGAACTGTTCGATAGCATATCTCATTCAGGATTATAAATACTATGAAAACACACGCACAAAAAAAAAAAAAAAACCCACAAAACAAAAAGAAAACTAGTAGTGAAATACTGATATAAGTTTTGCAAGTTTTTCCAAACTATTCCTTTTTTCTTCTTCCTTTCTTTTAAATATTTTGAATTGAATTGTATATTTTGGTCTTTCTTTCTATATTTCCATGACATCACATTATTATTTTTACTTGTTGCACAAACAGAGTCTTTCCAGTTTTACTATATCATACAATTCATCTCTCTATTTACAAACATAAATTCATTGAAGGTAAACCTCTCAGTTCCGTTTTACATAATTATATGTTTTTTACTTATCTTTAAGCGGGAATTATTTTGATAATTACTACCTTACTTTGAGAGTTTGATTTATAATTTTGGACGTAATCAGTTGAGTATCCCATAAAATTGGAAAAAACATGGATCAAATCCCAGAATCAGGAAACGTGGATGAAAAGATAGCAGATCCTAGTGGATAATTTAATAGTCTATATTTATAGTTTATGATGATTTTGTTGTCTCTTTCGGCATACGCAAAGTTTTACACTGAAAGGTGTGTGTAATTTATGATCAAGTTGATCCCGCTGAAGGCATATACGGAAAATCCTCACATCTTAATACTTTTAACAGATTTTACATAGATAAAATGTATATAGCTTGGACTTGTTTCTTTGCGTCCGAAATAATTTAATTAAAAGTTGAAAGAACTTTATGGATATTTATATCCGAAACGTCAGATCAAAGTTAAGTACAAACAAACTATATAAAAAAAGGAGAAGATTTTGACAGGACAACAGTGTTCTCAACCATTTGGGTTTGAGATATAGCCGTGGTGCTGTTTATTATTCTCTATACAAATAGATTTGCGGGTGAGCCTGTTATTATTTCCGGAATCATATTCTCCCTTTCGAACGTTATAATTTACAAACAATTTTCTTCTTTTTATCTGCTAATTCAACTCATCTTTTACCATAAACTAGGTTCGGTTTTTTTCACGTCGCTGTCCTTTAGCACATTCACAAAGCGATATGTTTTCAAACGAACAGAAGGTGATACAATTACTAGTTTGGCTGTACATTATTAGCACTTTGCTATACACCTACAGCTTTTCTAGATGACAAAAATGGTTAATTTAAGACTTGAATGTAACGATGGTCATTTTCATGGTCTTAATGGTCGTTTATCCAATAATACGCCAGCTATAACCTTCCATTGACGTTCTGACACCACCAACTATCAGTCACAAAGCTTAGATAGAAAGCCATGTGTTCTCTAACTCCATTTCAATCACAATGCTCCTCGGAGGGTTGTAATAATTTAAAGTGTATCATTCATCACGCACATGTCGTTTCTTAACCCGCATATTCTTAAATGTTGCACAGTTAAACAAAATTTCATCATAACAATACAAAATTATCAGATATTAATGAAACGAGAGATAAATCATTTAAGAATATTTGGTTCGATAAATAGTCCCATCATGTATTAGTTTATTTCGAAGTTATATTTAAATTCTCGGGTGAAATAATTGATAAAATTAGAACGAAAGAACATTTATAATATAATGAACAATATGCTGTATGAATAAGCGTTGCATGCACAAAATTTGCTTTTTTTTTGTTTCAAGATCCAATTGTTGTTATCATGTATACTGACATCACATATATTTCAGAACAAAAACTTTACCCTGTTTCTCTATGTCTACATTAATTTGAAGAGAATACGTATATATCGAATATTTTTTTATTTTCTTTTTCAAATTGTAATATAATTTCAAAACAACATTAATTTGAGATCTTATAAAACGTAATATTGTGACTGAAACTGTATGTGATAAATAATCGTGATATTCAAGTACTATTTATCAAGAATCCACAAAAAATATTCACTGTTGAATTTCTGTGAAAGAGTAAATTTCTGAAAGTTCATAGAGTTGATTCAGAGACGCTTGGGACAAGTTTAATTACCTCGTATGCCAGTAGCAGAGGACTCGTAATTAATCAATATTAACCAATATCTTAAGTATTAATTAGCTAAGCGGTTATAATTACGAGGCTAGTGTTTGACATACCTAAAAAGTATTTTGTTCGATAAAAAACAAACAAAAACACAAGAAAATACCAACATGTGAACATAATCATAATCCAAACTAATGACAATGTCATTTATTCAATAGGAAATAAGATAATATTTCACACACAGCTTTTGTACCTTGTCATAAGATAGAATTTTTTTTTATTATTTGTATAACGTATTAGACAGAAATAATCACAATTTTGTCCTAAGTCGATGTATAACCTTGTCAAAAAATTTCTTTTCTATGAGGGTAAAACAGTACACTTTCATAAACAGGTATTGTGATGTCAAATTTTTAAATATATTTGATAGACTTTCTGTAATTTGAAAAAAAAAGTAAGAGGAGAGTTTCATCAGTTACCGTTTAATGTGATTATGAAATGTAATCATATAGTTTGTGCTTCAATGAAATCGTTCTTAATCGAGATGGATTTAAGTATATAGCTAAAGTGTTATTTTATAAACTTTGAAATCAAGACAAAAATCAATAAACTGTCAGACACACTTCAGTCGAACGGCAATAAATGAGGACGCTGCAAGCCAGATTCTGAAAAGCTCCCGTGAAACAACAACGCCACAATATGACGCGTTTTAACACCGATAAAAGAAATATTCAAATTATAAATTCATAC